GGGAAGAAGGGAAGAGCTTTACAAAATTTGGTAGGCTTCGGGAGGGTTGAAGGGACAGTCTTGAGTTTATGTGCGTTGTCATCAGGAAACTGAGGCGATTTTTTCCCTGTAACCATGTTACTTTCTAGGCCGAGGGAATCACCAAGTAGACCCTTTTTACTACGGAGGGCCTTGATCGCTCTGGACCGGGTTTGTTTTATCTGGGTTGCGGTCCTGGGGACCGTAAGCACCGACGTCTTTTCTCTGCGGTTGATCTCTGAGCGCTCAGAGCATAGACTTGTGTTCGCCGAGCTGCGTGCCACTGGCTTGAGGCAGACCACTGTCTCGTTTAGTGGGAAAACTTGTGGTGAGATGGGCTGTGAGTGGGTTACGTCAGTTTCCAGACGTATGACCGGTACGAAGGCGCTTCGGAGAAGCTTGGAGTTTGTCGAGGGGTTAGAGGGGGCGTTCTTTTTCGGAACAGGGAGCCTAAGGTGAACGGGTTAATCGACCGACACCCCTCTAAGACCCTTGCAGGATCGTTTCAGGAAAGGAGCAAATGTGATGAACTTACGGGCTGTAGAAGGGGAGCCCATATCTACTACGAGGCCATGGAGAGTTTTCTGTTCTTCGGAATAAGCCACGAGCATTAGCTGGGCTTGAAAACTGTCGTATCCAGATGTTTAAAGATTAACTTCGTCATTTCCTGAGGGGTTAAAGAGCTCGGGAAATGTCCCCAGAAGATAACCCTTTTCGAGGCAGTCGTGTCCACCTGTAAAATTCGTGCTGTAGCTAGCATTTGCTGCTCGGATACTTTGATCGCTTGGTCTGCCGCCAAGTGAACTGGGGAGTTCAACATGAGGGCGTTGAGTTTGGCGACCTGGTCACCGAGAGCGCTAGCTTCGGCCTTCAGCCTCCCTAGTTCTAAAGCATGTTCCTGAATTGTGCCTAGCATTTTGGCCTGTGAAAGAGTTTTATCCATGACCATCACAGACTCATCTAACGTCGTCGGGAAGGTGTCCTCGTCGGAGGATCCGAGAGAGGTTTTATCAGCCATCGAATGGTTGGACGGTATAATAAAAATATTTTTTTCGGATTGGAAGGAAATAATTGGAGCCTAGTAAGTATAAAACTTGTGGGAAATACAGAAACCGATTAAGAGGTTAAATTTTGAACGTACCGCGTCTCAGGGAAGGGAAAAAGAGATGGCGCAGCCTCTGTTTCTTGGCGGTCAGTGTGCATTAACATTACCATAAGTCCGGAAAAAGGGAACGCCAGGCTATGTCTAACTCGCGTATAAAGGTCTGTACCGATTGACATGTCACTACTGTTGCTGGAAGCCGATTCCAGGCTGGGACTACTCTATTCAAAAAGAAGTGGCGCCTGATTAACAGTTGGCTTCTTGTCCGCTCCAGAGAGTATGAATGCCCTCGGAGACTAAACAACACACAAAACACTGGACAGGACAGTTCACAGGACTTCCGGCTTGAGCCAGAATTGTACTCTGGGTTTTTGCGTCTAAGGGCCACGTGTGTCTCGTAGCGCTTCGACAGTGAGTTGATCGATTCTTGGTGGTGTAGGGTACGGCCGCGGAGCAGGGGCGCCAATCAGTTTTGCTGTCCATGAAAGCAGCACTAGCTAATGAGTCACAGGCTAACAAGGAGTTCCGAGTACCTTTCCAGAAAACAGTAGAGAACCCGCAGGCATGCGAAAATAGGTTAAGAACGGAAAATAAAGATAAGCTAGTACGCAGAGGAGGGTGTGAGGAGCTGGAGTTAGACAAGTGAGATGAAGGAAGTTAAAGTAAATGGGATGATATAGCCAATAGCAAAAGTGGGAGGTGGGCAGATTTTGGGAAAGCTGAAGGTCTGTCTACCACAAAGGACTGTCGATTGTTTTCTTAGGCTGATTCGGGGACGGTTACGTTCCACATCTCATCAAGCCTTTTTTACCAATTCCAGTGTGAACGCCGGGAAGATGTCATTAGGAAGTCTAGTTCTAGAATTGACCACTCAATGAGAGAAGTAGTTTGCCCTTTCACTCTTTAGTGCATGAGGTTTGCCCAGCTTCAGCTGGTGTCCTCTTGAAGCTGGGTTTGTAGTGACCATGATTGTACGAAGAAAAGGAGCAATCCACAAGGACGTTTTCCGTTCATAATTTCTTCACAATCAACTCTGACTCCAACTGTGATATTTCTTTGTTTTACTTCTGCTTGTCTTACTGAGCACGACTTTCCGCTCAGGTGTATATATAAGCTGGGTCCTGTTGAAACCCACGCAACACGTGTGACACGCCTTCGCTTTGCTACTGCATTTATAGCTTGCATTGTTTAGCGTCATCTCGGCACGTTTCGGTACTATCTAGTACCACGATTCGCCAATAAACGTTTACGACTCCCACGAGTGTATTTGTCTACCTCGGGCAAGGAGACACTGGGAGTTCGCGCGCACTTTGAGACTCGTAAGAAGACTTACCGGCAGGCCGTTAACACCGGTTAGCTTCATTGGTGAGCGCGCGCCGTCTACTTTGTAAGTCAAATCCAATTTGGTTTGCACTTTTTCCTCACGGTTCGTTATCATTTGCAAGATATAATTATTTATCGCATTTGTACGATGTCCGAGGAACGTACACCAGTAGACGATAGAGAACTGGATCTATTGGCTATTAGTTTTAAGTCAGTGGCCTCTATCCTTCACGACCCTGAGGCGTGGTTTGCTGCGTTAGAAACGCAGTTTCTCGCTCGTAACTTGCGGAGCCAGCGCTCCAAATAAGTTTACGCGGTAGAGGCAACCCCTGGCGACTGAATGTCCGCCATTAGGGATATTATCCTTACACCGCCGGCGAAGGACGCGTACGACGTTCTAAAGGCTGCTATCCTCCAGTACTACACCTCCTCTAACGAGGAAAGGTTACGCCAGTTCCTGGCTCGTCATCCAATTGGTGACACGACGCCAAGCAGGCATCTGGCGCGTCTGCGTTCGTGAGCCGGTCCAGCAAA